GGGCGGCGGCGGAGTGGGCCGCGGCGGCGAGGGCGACAGCGACGGCGGCGGCGGAGTGGGCGGCGGAGAGGCCGGCGGCGCCGAACACTCCGACCACGCCCAGCACCACATCCAGCGGCACAGCACCAGCCACCGATGCCTTTTCCTCTCACAGCGCAGCTTGCACTGGCACGGCCGCCGAGGTGACGGCAGCCCACGCGGCAAACTGCAGCACGGTTCGGTGGTTGGGAACGGGTTGACGGCGGTGAATAGGAAGTTGCGCCCGCCGCACGGGGTGAGGCTGCAGACGGCCGCCGTCGTTGAGTAGGTGAACCTCACCGTCGAGGTGTCGCGGTACCAGAGCGTCACAGACTTCGCGCGCTGCTCCGCTGTCAGGAAGGCCGGCTCCGTCGGGTTGTCCGCCAGCGTCCCTTCCCTTGTGGAGGAGAAGGTGACGGAGCCGTCCGGCGCGGTGCTGACATCGAGCTCCGTGTTGGGGTCGACGTCGTACTTGACGAAGCCGCTCGCCGTGAGCGACTCCGCCCCAGACGGCAGGTCCGTCTCCTGGTCGAGGTCGTAGTAGGTGAAGAAGAACTCGCTCAGCACGACTGGCTGGCCGTTGCTGTCGACAAAGTCGAACCGCAGCGTCACGGTCTCGTTTTGCCCGAGGTTGATCTGCGGGATCGCGCCGTTGATGCCGTTGTGGTTCGCGGCATTGCGCGGCACGTACTCCGTCTCGCTGGTGATGATCAGGTCAAAAGGCTCGCCGTCGGCCGTCATCCCGACTGATGCGAGGTGCATGTTCTCCGGAGAGTCGTCCGGGTCGGGGCCGGCGCCGCCGAGGTTGTTGTTCTGCAGCGTCGCCAGGCTGAAGTCGATCAGGTTGTGCGTCTCGTCCGAAGCACAAATGCAAGGAGAAGACGGCGGTACAGGTAATGCGGGCGGAGGCGGCGGTTGCGGTGGTGGGAAGGGCGGTGGCCCCCGCGGCGAAAGGCAGCATGGGTCAACGACGGGGAACGGATTGACGCCTGCAAAGAGGAAGTTGCGCCCGCCGCACGGGGTGGGGCTGCAGACGGCCGCGGTCGTCGAGTAGGTGAGCCTCACCGTCGAGGTGTCGCGATACCAGAGCGTCACCGAGCGTGAGAGCTGCTCCGACGTCAGTGACAGTGGGTCGGTCGGGTTGTCGTCCAGCGTCCCTTGCCTGGTGGAGGAGAAGGTGACGGAGCCGTCTGGCGCGGTGCTGATGTCGAGCTCCGTGTTGGGGTCGACGTCGTACTTGACGAAGCCGCTCGCCGTGAGCGACTCCGCCCCTGACGGCAGGTCCGTCTCCTGGTCAAGGTCGTAGTAGGTGAAGAAGAACTCGCTCAGCACGACTGGCTGGCCGCTGCCGTCGACGAAGTCAAACCGCAGCGTCACGGTCTCGTTTTGCCCGAGGTTGATTTGCGGGACCGCGCCGTTGATGCGGTTGTGCCTCGTGGCGTTGCGGGCCACGTATGGTGTCAGCGCGGTGACCCGAAGGTTCAGCGGCGAGCCGTCTTGCATGGTGCCGACCGACGCGAAGTACATGCTCTCGTCAGATGAGACGTCTGGGCCCTGGCCGCCGAGGTTATTGTCCAGTAGCGTCGCTCGGCTGAAGTCAAGGAGGTGGTACGTCTCGGCGGATGCGCAGACGCATGGAGGAGGTGGTCCTGGTGGCGGCGGCGCCAGGCACTCACTGCAGGAGCCGCACCCCGCCCAGGTGCACAACACGCCCCAGGATTTGGTGTTGTGAGGACAGTAAGGTTTGCACGCTGTTGCTGGTGGCGCAGGGGGTGGAAGCTGCCGGGGGGCCAAACATTGGGTGCAGGCCCCACATCCATTCCACATACACAACTGGTTCCACGGTTGGCTTCTGCGCATGCAGAATGGCTGGCACCGAGCAGGTGGCGGTGCTGGTGGGGAGGGTGGCACTGGCAGCGGCCGCGGAGGCGGTGTCAGACAATCAGTGCAGCCGCCACAGCCAGACCAGAGGCACTTGGCGCTCCACGTCTGCGTCTTGAGAGGACAGAAAGCCTTGCACATCTGCGTTGACGGGCACTGGGTGCAGGCTCCACAGCCAGTCCACGCGCATCGTGCTTCCCATGGATGCGTTTTGTACTCGCAGTGGCCTCGACAGCCGGGCGGTGGGGGTGCTGGTGGCGGTGAGGGCGCCAGCGCTGTTACTGCCTGCATGATTGCCAACACCGGCATGCCAGGGTCTTGTGGCACGCTGGAGTCGGTTGGTCCTTCTTTGGCGAGGCAAGCGGTACAAGTAATTCTAATCTGGGTTGTTTTACTTTAATTCTAATCTGGAGGTCATCTTCGCATTAGAGACAGAGGCAGAGACAGAGACGTCGCAGGAATTTAAACAAAACAACTCGTTCTCACATCAGACAGGCTACGACCCAAACTGGGCCCCGCGGTGCGTCAACCTCGGCTTATCACCGCAGGGCACCGCAACGGAGCAGACTTCGGACCACGACGAACTACCCTTGAAGTACCGACGGCACACCCTCTCGCATCATCCGCTCGCCTTTCGCCAAGGCGACGTCGCAGCGTAGAAGGAGGAGCGGCGGAACGATGCAGATCCGCTCTGGAGTGACATCCCCAGACTCCATAACCGACCGCCTCGCTTCGGTTGCAGTAAGCGAGCGCCGCGAGAACATGATTGAGCAGGACATCGACAAGGGAACGCTAGTGGCACCGGGAGGGCCCGCGGCGTCAGTCGCGGCGCAGCAGCACGCGCTGGAAGCGGGAGGGCTGGTGGGGCCTCCAGCCCTGCTGGCGGTGCCATTCTCCGCGATACAGCCGCTTGACCTCCTCGGCAGCGGAGAGTTTTGCGTGGTGCATTGCGCCCTTCTTGGCGGCGATTATGTTGCGCTGAAGAGGCGCACAGCTTGCGTCTGCCTCGCCCCGCCTCCTCCTCCCCTGCCTCATGTCAACACTTGTCCTTGCTCTCACCGCAGGCTCAAGGCTTCGTTGCGTGGCTCCCAATGCGCGGAGGAGGACCTGCGGCGCGAGATTGAGCTGCTCTCGCACACGAGCCACCCCAACATCGTCCGCTTCCTCGCCCACGGTCTCGACGACCGCGGGGTTCCCTTTTGCTGCCTCGAGCTCTTCTCGCGGCCTCTGAGTGATTTGCTGCCGACGGCACAGGGGCTGCTCGCGCGCTCGAGGCAGGCGAAGAAGTGGCCGCTCGCACGCGGCCTCTCGGTCGGCCTGCAGCTCGCCCGCGCACTCCGCTACTGCCACGACGACTTTCTGGCCGGCTACCGCCTCCTTCACCGAGACATCAAGCCGGGAAACATCGGCGTGACGTCTGACGGCCGGGTGCTGCTCACCGATTTTGGGCTCGCCACGCTATGGCGGCGCGCCCATACGGCGCGGGATGACGACGAGCAGCGGGCCCTCACGGGCATGACCGGCTCACTGCGCTACATGGCGCCCGAGGTCGCGCTGTACATGCCCTACAACCGCAAGGCGGAGGCATTCTCCTTCACCTCGGTCCTCTACCATGTGCTTTCGCGGCGGAGGCCCTTTTCCCACCTCACGCCTGAGCTCTACCTCGATCGAGTCTGCCGCGGCGACCTGCGCTGCCCGCTCGGCAAGTGGCCGGCCGAGGTGCAAGCCCTCATGTCTGCGGGCTGGGCGTCGGAGCCGTCACAGCGCCCGGACTTCGCGCAGATCGTGTCCATCCTGGAGCGGGCGCTGGAGAGGCTGTCTTCGTAGATGCGATGCTAGTTCGTGCCCATACTGGAGCGGGCGCTGCAGAGGCTTTTCGTAGGAGTTTCGCGCACAAGCGCGTTGGGGCGGGCCACTCTGACGTGACAGGAAAGGGCCGTATACAATGTCTCCACGCAGCTTTTTTTTTTGGAGGAGAGAATTGGGCGAGGCCGTGTCTGGTGCTATTTGTGATTGTAGTGGTGCTATTTGTGATTGTAGTGGTGTCCGGCTTCTATTCATGAGAAAGCACACCACTGACCCCACACCACACAACAAGTGGTGGGGCAAGGGAGGGCGAAGGCGTCGTCACAACGTCGCATCCTCTGTGCTAGTGGCGGCACTGCGGTATAGTGGCGGCCTTAGCTTATCACCTGCTCACCGACGAAGACGCCGA